TTGTTCCACGGACCGGTACCGGTCCGCGGACCGGTGGTTGGGGATCACTGCTCTAGAGTGCAGCCAGGATAAAAATCACTGCCTTCAGATTGCTGCAAAATAGTAACAGTGCAGCTTCCTACCATTTTCAGATGGAGCACTGATTTAAGAACTAAAATTCTTAATTCTAATATTAGCTAACATTAGCTAAATAATAAATTTTAAACAAACAGCTCTGCAGGCAAAAAAACCTCAGAATTTTAGAAAGAGTAGGAAAATTAGACTCATTAATAGCAAAAGATCATATCTGAACAGCCAAGATGTGCAAAAACTCATCTCAGATAGCCATAAGAATCTGGATCATATATCAGCAATGTTTGACATTCATTAGCTAAATACAAATAAATACAAACATTTATTTTGACTGCTTTAAAAATTCTCCCCCAACCTTTTTTCATTTCTGAAGTTCCTATCTTGGTGATAATTTTATACAGTAGTTATAAAAAGTCTATACACCCCTATTAAAAAGCCAGGTGTTTGAGATATAAAAAAATATAGACAAGATATATCACTTCAGAATTTTTTCTATGTTTAAAATAACATATAAGCTATTCTATTCAATTGAAAAATAAACTGAAATCTTTTAGGGCGGAAAATAACAAAAGCACATAAGAAAAGCACAATAAGAAAATAACATGGTTGTATAAGTGTGTACACCCTTGTAAGTAAGGATGTGACAGAATTAACTAGTCACATTCAAACTGTTCTTAAACAATAGTAAATACCTACCTGCCATTAATTAAAATATGCCTGATCAATCCAATTTAAGTTCAGCTGAACTTCTCTGACATTTACTCAGTTGTCTCTTACAGCAAAAGTCATGGTCTGCAAAAAGCTTACATAGTATCAAAGGGATCTTGTTGTTGGAAGTTATCAGTCAAGAAAAGAATACAAAAAATATTCCTAAGCATTGGATATACCATGGAGCACAATGAAGACAGTCATCAACAAGTGGAGAAAATATAGAACAATAGTGACATTACCAAGAATTAGATGTCCCTCCAAAATTGATGAAAAAACAAGAAGAAAACTGGTTTGAGAGACTGCCAAGAGGCCTACAGCAATATTAAAGGAACTGCAGAAATTTCTGGCAAGTACTGGTTGTGTACTGCATAAGAGAACAATCTCCTATATTCTTCATATGTCTGGGCTATGGGGAGGATGCAGGGGTGGGATGTATAACAACCAGTTTGGTGATTGTGCACTTTGCGCGCATGTGCGTGTGAACACTAATACAAAAATCCTTACCTGCTATGTTACTACGGGAGAGTAACATAACTGAGGAGCGGCAATCCGCTCTTCCATGCTGATCAGCTGTGACGATAAAGGTCAGTGCAGCGCAGGGCAGACGGATGGGCTCACATACTCTTTGGAGAAAACTGGTTCACTCCCGGCTGATCTTCAGAGCTAGGGGTTTACCCGAACCAGTCTGAACCAGCAGAATCCCACCCCTGGGACGGTGGCAAGACAAAAGCCTTTTCTTACAAAGAAAAATATTGAAGCCTGGCTATATTTTGCAAAATCCTAAATCAAGTTTGACAAAAGCATGTGGGAAAATGTGTTATGGTCCGATGAGACCAAGACTGAACTTTTTGGCAAAAATTCCAAAAAGCATTTTTGGCGCAAAAACAATACTGAGCATCACCCAAAGTACACCATACCCACAATGACGTATGGTACTGGCAACATTATGCTTCGGATCTGCTTTTCTTCAGATGGAACTGGAGCTAATTTAGTCAAGGTGGAGGAATTATGAACAGTTCCAAATATCAATTAATTTTTACATAAAGCATTCAGGCCTCTGTTAAAAAGCTACAGATGAATTTCACCTTTTAACACAACAATGACCCGAAGCATACCTTCAAATCAATAAAAGAATGGCTTCACCGAAGCCTTGACCTGAATCAATTGAAAATCTGTGGATGAAGAGGGCTGAGTACAGGAGATGCTCTCATAATCTGACAAATTTGAAGCGCAACTGCAAGGAAGAGTGGGCAGATTTCCAAGGTGAGATATGCCATGCTGATAGGTCCTACCCAAAAAGACAGAATGCAGTCATTCATTCATTTATTTTATTTATACCATTTATTGATGTCAATCTTGCCTCAGGGTATCTCTGGGTGTGTCATAAAATCAAAAGGTGCTTCAACAAAGTATTAATTTAAGGGTGTGCACACTTGTGCAATCATATTATTGTAAGATTTTTATTTCCCCCCTAAAATATTTGTTTGCTCTTCAATTCAAATGTACAGTTTAAATGTTATATTAAAGATTGAAAAAATTCTGAAGTGATATATCTTCATCTATTTTTTTTACATGTCAAAAACCTGGCATCTTAATAGGGGTTTATAGTACTTTAGCGTATATCACACTGTATAAGGTGATAAAAATACTGGCTTGATAAGTTGTTAGTAAAAACAAACAAAATGAAACACAATACAGCTACTTACTCAAAAGATAAACAGTCTCTTCCACAAAGACTCTTTGCTGACAAATTTCAAGAGCCTGTTAATTTCAAAAACAAACAACAAATATGAAAGTTTAATATCATGGATAAATAATGACATTAGCTGCACATCTCTAAGGCTGATTGCAGTCAGTTGAATATAACAATGTTACCGAAAGTTAATGAACATCAACTTTTTTCTAGTTTGGTGAATGCTAAAAGAGGACACTTTTTATTCATTGCCGAGTTGACTCATTTCTAAGCATAATGAATAAGAGTACATAGTGATGTTAATTTAAAACTTTTAAATCATTCCAGAAAGACCAGCCAAATGATTTTTTAAAATTATTTTCATAAATAGAAATGCATAGTAAACATAGGCAAGAAGCCTGGAAAATATTAGAAAAGCAAATGCAGGAGGCTAGCATATTATAATAAATTAAATATAATTTAAGGCTTCTCGACTTTCTGCTTCCTTGACACCAAATATAATATAATAGGAGAGAGGGGATAAAGGAAATATTCTAGTTAGATTTATTTATCATCTTTTTAATAGAAATTTCAATTCCTTGGGAGCGGGCAGGGAAGAAGGGAAGCTGCCTTTCATTCTATGAACAACCATTCCACAATAATCAGTATGTTAGACAAACTGAATCAGGAGTGACATCCCTGCTCCAATAGTGGTATGAATCTGGATCCAAGAAGGTAAGAATTTAAGATTTTCCAGATCAGCAAATCTTGTCCTAGAGAAGCTCACTGACTACCAATCAAATTATTGTTTTGCAATGCTAAAAAGCAAAATGGTTGATTTTAGTTTATAAGAAAGTTTTAGCTTAGCGTAAGACTAATTCTCTGTTTTATGCTGCTCCACTATTTTATTGCATACATTGCTTTAAAAATACTGATATTCCTTAGGATTAAACACCTTGATTATTGAATAAATGCATAACTATTAAAGTAAAGAAGAGTGGCCTTCTGCAGTAAGCTCAAGAGCCTTTAGTTCTCAGATTTTCCAGCAGAGGGTAGTATTATATAAAGATTTGCCCCAGGATTTAAAACGGACTGAAAACAAATACCAAACTGATTCTGATTAATATAAAAATCACACACAAAAAAACTTCTACATTGCACATAAAAATAAATAAAACCAATCACTACTATACTTGGTGAAAAAATGTATCTTCCTTACCTTTTCCAATGGGCAATGGGTGCTATTTTTCAAAAAAGGGAGTAAATTTGTCCGGTCATATTCAGCATACAGACTGATTTGCTTCTCATGATACTTTTGTCCTTTATGATGATCTCTCTTGAACAGCTTATGCAAATACTACAAACCAATAAAAAGTATAAAACCATAAGAACTTGTAAAGTAGTCATCACCCCAAATACGGATTTCAAAATAATAACTAATTTAGTTTTCCAATTTCTTTAAGTATAAATCCGAAAGAAAACCAACCCCTCAAAAAAACTATCAGACTAATCAAAACAATATTTCACCTTCCTTAGCCTTGCTAATTAACGGCAAAATTTGATTAAGAACAAGGTATAGAATTTCACCTATATGTCTTTCTTATATCATAAATATAGATAGTCCTCTACTTACAACAGTTCATTTAGTGACCATTCAAAGTTGCAACATTACTGAAAAAAGTGACTTATGACAATTTTTCACACTTATGAGCATTATAGTATTGCCGCGATCACATGATTTACATTCGGATGCTTGACAACTGGTTCATATTTATGATGGTTGCAGTGTCCCAGGGTCTTTTGTGACCTTCTGACAAGCAAAGTCAATGGGAAGTCAGATTCATTTAACAATGTGTTACTAATTTAACAATTGCAGTGATTCACTTAACAAATGTGGCAAGAAAAGTCATAAAGTGGGGCAAACCAGACTTAAGAAATTTTTCACCTAGCAACATAAATTCTGGGCTCAATTATGGTCATAAGTTGAGGACTATCTGTAAAGGGATGAGGAAAGATTGAGGAAAAATCAGTGATGGGAAGTACAATACAGATTGAAATTTTATTCTGTGATGGCCAAAAATCAGGAGGAAGCAGCTTTTCACAATAACAAATGTGTTAAAGAATGTTCATGCTAACTTCATCAGATACATGGAATGCCTAAACTGATGTAAGATTTAAATTGGATGAGGTGGGAGGAAGGAAACAGGAATGTAGATTAATGTTATATGTGAGATACATTAGGATTATAATTTATCAATTAATCATTGTAATGTTAAAAACCCATTATATAGGTTTCAATATATGCTTTTTGATGCATCTGAATTAAACAATTTCTAACTTAATTTTGCTTGTAATTTCTCCTCAGCTCTCCAAAATTAGTTAATTTGATATTTGTAATGGACTTTCTGAGAAGTTATAATGCTCTGTTATTACTCTGTCCTTGTTTTGAGTCCTGATGTCAAACCTGGCTCTATTAATTATTTTGCAAAGTTGGCCTCTCTGACTTATGTAGAATTTACATATGTAGAATAATCTAGTCTATGTAGAGATTTAATTTAGTTTTTCCAGCCTGCTAATTCTTCTTCACAAATATCTCAATTCCCAGAAAGTGGTATATGCAGATGTGTTGACTAAAAATAGCAGTTCCAGATGAATGTCCATGAATATAAGTACACTTTAATACACTGTAACCAGAGATCCTTTTCTGGAACAGCTACTTGAGGGCATTTTCTCATCTAATATAAGGCCAAGAATAATCATTTGCTGAAATTATATATCTTCAAGCTCTTGTATTAAAGATTAGTCCAGTGGTGGCTAACCTTCTTGGGCTCCTGTGCTGAAAATTGCACCCGCACTTGTGCGCCAGCACTCAGAAGGCAATGTGTGCCCCCCACACCCTCTGTACATGCGTGCACGATCCCTCACCCCGCTTACCTGCACTGTGCATGTTCACACCTCCCAACTGATTTTCAGCCCATTTGAGGCCTTTTTCAGTCTCCCAGAGGCTCAAGGGAAGCCTCTGCAGCCTTTGGAGGCTGAAAAATTGGCCCATTTAGTCACTTCCGGTATTTGTGGGGCTCACGTGCCCGCACAAATGGCTCTGCGTGCCACCTGTGACATGTGTGCCATAGGTTTGCTATCATGGGATTAGTCTATCCAAATAGATTTTGCAATATCCTTGAAAGGGTCAGGGTTAATACAAATGTAATAATAGTATGGTATGGCATGGTATAAGTATTAATATTAATATAATACAGTTCAATACAATACATTTATGTTTCATAATATTTAATGTTATAAAATAAAATATAAATATAAATAATATACACATACATAATATAAAATCCTGCCTTATTCATGAAAGCAAACTAGGTGACTTTGGGCCAATCTCAGTGCAACACAGCTCACATGGCCAATGGAGGAAAATGGGGGAAGGAAAGTGTGTTGGAATACTAGTCTTCCCCTTCCCAATGATTTATGATGTTATGAATTAAGCTTCTATATCAGCCAGAATAACTACATCTGGAGGATTAGGGAAGAATGATCTGTGCTATAACTGGCTAATATATTATGGAATTTAATAAGCAGAAAAACTGCAGCAACCTAGGCTAATCCACAATATGTTAAGCAGGGTCAAACGTAGTTAAGATTTTGAGAGCATCATAAAATCCCAGATTCATTAGGGGAAATTTTAAAAATCCAGAAGGAGTCAATTACAAACTGTCTTTACATTGTTGACAAGAAAAACACATGTACATTTTCAGGAACCAAGCTTAACTTGAGGATTTCCCACTTAGACTAATGCAGTGGTGGGATTCAATTTTTTTTACTACCAGTTCTGTGGGTGTGGCTTGGTGGGCATGGGAGGGGAAGGATACTGTAAATTCTGGGGAAGGATACTGTAAAATCTCCAGTCAGAGGTGGTATTTGCCAGTTCTCTGAACTACTCAAAATTTCCACTACTGGTTCTCCAGAACTGGTCAGAACCTGCTGAATACCACCTCTGCTGTAATGTGATGAAATTAGGATTACTTATGTCAGACAGACCCCAGTGAGTTCTCTTGGTCAACCATGTGTTTTTCTTTATTAAGTGTGGTTGAATTTCTATCTTTTAAAGTATTCTATACCACAATAGTACCTATGTTGCTAAAATTGAACTATACAGTTGTGCTACTTATGCTCTTACGTGTTAAGACAAAGAACAAACTAATATACTTACCACATGCTGCAATTCAGGCCTATCTTTTAATTCTTCCACAACTTTATCAATCTAAATCAAAGAGCATTAAGATTTAAGACTTGATTGTTTTTGTGACTAAATATTTGATAATATTTATAAAAGGTGATAGGGCAATCATCCAACAATAATATAATTAGATGTTAAACTCACAGAGATTTTATCTTCATTGTCCAAAAACATGTCAACGGCTTTCTAAAAGAAAGAAAGAAGTCCATGATAGCAAACAGATAGACAAGAGTCATAATGTTAAACATTTACAAACATCTACAGACTCTGATGAGCTGTGTTGAAGAAAAATGACATAGCTATGTCATGATGCCAGTTGCACACCCAGGAAGAAGAATGGTACAAATACGGGTGTAAAATTAGATGGTAATGATGGGATTCTATTACATCTTGGGAGATTGATGTAATAAACTGGCACTTAAAAGCAGGAAATTGTGGGTTATAGTCCTGCTTGGGACCTTAGGTCTCTCAGGAAGAAGGCAAGGGCAAACCATTTTCAAAAATCTTCTCAAGAAAAACATAGATACATGTCCAGACAGTTGCCAGGAGTAAAGATAGAAATCCATCCATGAAAAAACAACCCGCCATCAATTGTGGCCTATGATTTAAATATGTTCACTACGAGTTCACATAGCTGAAGCTTGATGCTTGACAGCAATCAAAAATCTAGTTCATACAACCTAAATCAGCCACTAAAGCAAAATACATAGGAAAGGTGAATGGTACTGTATTTTCCCCAAAATGACATATTTTTTTTGCCTCCAAAAGAGGCACTAGGGCTTATTTTTGTATTTTTTCACATACAGGAGGCGGCGAATGCTAGGGGAGTGAGAGCACTGTTACTGCTGGCCCTGCCCTGTCAATCCTACCATGTGCTCCAAGCTCTCAGCATGCCCTGGCCTCCACCTGCCCTGCCTGTTGGTCTTGCTACAGTTGGGACCCTTCTTGGCCACTGAGCAATTGACCGTATTGCTGCTCGCTGAGCCTATGAGCTGAGCCCAGCACTCTTCAGGCCCTGGCCCTAGTGGGCACTGCAGCTCTCATGCTGGCTGGGCAGGATGGGCGTGGTGCTGTCCCTGGCCTCCTTTGGCCTCTACTCACCTGCAGCTGTTCTGTAGCCAGCTGCTGCTGTCACCTCACCTTCTGCCCAGCCCAGCCTGTCATTAAGCCACAGCTGCTATTCAGCGCCTCCAGTACGTCCTGCTGGAGTCACCCCATGCACCCTGCAGGCTGGGCAACATGCCCCTCCCCTGCCCTGCATGGTTTCAGTGCATGGCAAGGTGAGGGAGGCAGCTCTATCTGCCACCACTTGCCTCACCTCACTGTATGTTGGCATCACTGGCCTGCCAGACAGGCTGGGTGAGGCAGCCACCTCACACAGTTGGCACAACAGCTGCAGCACCCACCACGGCCAAGGCCCAAAATGCAACGGGCTCAGCCCATAGCCTAGCACCTGTAGCGCCAAGTATGTGCAGGACACTATTCAGTAGCCCAAAAATGGTGGTGGGCGAGGCGGCATGGGCAACGTGTCTCTACTGATGGTGGCTGGTGAATCTCACAAGGCTCAAGGTTGACTCACCCTTCCGTCCTTCTGAGGTGGGTAAAATGAGGACCCAAATTGTTGGGGGCAATATGCTGACTCTGTAAACCGCTTAGAGAGGGCTGTAAAGCACTATAAAGCGGTATATAAGTCTAAATGCTATTGCTATTTATCGCAAAGTGCCAACACGGCAATTTAACCTGAATACTGAGGTTTTAGTTTAGAAAAAACAATTCATACGTTAACATATTTTGTCTTAAAAGACAAAACACAATAACAATTTCAATGATACAAACAACTTTTTATTGAAAGGTTTGCATTTGACATACTTTTGGACAACTAATGTGATTTTTGCTGTTGTATGCATGCTGATAACCTGTCTAACCTTGGCTCATACTTCGTAAGTTTAGAGCAACTTTGAGAGCAACATATGCAGCACTCAGGTCATCAGTTAGTCTGTTTCTGGTGTAAGAATGCCCCCAAAATGGCCGTTTTCAGGCCATTTTTGAGGCTGTTTTTGGATCAAAAAACAGCCTGAAAAACACCAAAAAACAGGCTGTTTTTCAGGCCATTTTTCAAATGCTCATTTTGTTTTACATATTTGTGAAACTATTTTTTATCTGCCTTTAACTCTCTTTAATTATGCTCATTAGTATTTAGCAGGTACAGTCAAGGACAACAGCTGTTAGCCATAAATATTCCATTAGTACCATCAGTTCTTTCAATAAGTCATCCAATTCTGTTCCTTTAGCTCAGTGGTTCCCAAACTTTTTCAGTCCACCGCCTCCTTGGTGCTACAAACTCATCTTCAGTGCCCCCCACCCAGGGGTGGAATTCAAATTTCTTAACCAGTTCTGTGGCGTGGCCTAATTTGTGAGTGTGGCTTGGTCGTGTGACTGACTGGGTGTAGCTTGCTGGCTGGGCATGGTATGGTGGTCACGTGATTGGGTGGGCATGGCCAGGTGGCCATATGACTGGCAAACCAAATACAAGTGGTCCTCGCTTAATGGCTGCTTGCTTATGACTGATTTCCCCAGAGCTACCTGACCTGTTTTTGGAGTTTTGACAGCCATGCACACGCACACACACTCTCTCTCTCTCTTCTAACCCCGTTGGAGCCGATGGTTGGACTAGATATCTCATTCACTTACTCCTCCCTCCCTTCCTTCGTCCCTCCCTCCCTCCCTCTTTTCTTCCTTTTTTCCTTTCTTTCTGTCCCTTACTTCCATCCCCCCTTTGTCTAACCCTTTTCTTCCCTTTTCTTTTTTTTGTCTCTCCCTTCTCTCTCTCTCTTTCCTTCTCTTTCTCTCCCTCCCTCCCTCCCTCTCTCCCTCCCTCCATATTCCATTCACTTTCTCCTCCCTCCCTCCCTCTTTCTTTCCTTCCTTCCTTCTTTCTTTCTTTCTTTCCTTTCTTTCTTTTCCCTATTTTTCTCTCTCTTTTTTCTTTCCCTCTCTTTCTCAGATAACAGATGGAACCTTATAGTCCAACCCCCCGCCCAAGTGGGAGACCCTACACCATTTCTGACAAATGGCAGTCCAATCTCTTCTTGAAGGTCTCAAGTGATGGCGCTCCCACAACTTCCGAGGGCAAGCTGTTCCATTGGTTGATTGTTCTTACTGTCAGAAAGTTTCTCCTTATTTCCAGGTTAAATCTCTCCTTGTTCAGTTTTCATCCATTATTCCTTGTCTGGCCAACAGGCATTTTAGAAAATAGCTGGACTTCCTCCTCTCTGTGGCAGCCCCTCAAATATTGGAAGACTGCTATCATGTCTCCCCTGGTCCTTCTTTTCACCAGACTAGCCAAGCTCAGTTCCTGTAACTGTTCTTCATATGTTTTAGTCTCCAGTCCCCTAATCATCCTGGTTGCTCTTCTCTGTACTTTTTCTAGAGTCTCAACATCTTTTTTATAATGTGGTGACCAAAACTGGATGCAGTACTCTAGATGTGGTCTTACTAAGGCTTTATAGAGTGGTATTAGTACCTCCCTTGATCTTATCCCTCTGTTAATGCAACTTAGGATTCCATTAGCTTTTTTGGCTGCTGCTGCACACTGCTGGCTCATATTTAGCTTGTTGTCCACTAAGACTCTAAGATCCCTGTCACAGTTACTCTCTCTTCCCCCCTCTCTTTCTGTCCCTCCCTTCCATCCCCCCTTTCTTTGTCTATCCCTTTTCTTCCTTTCTCTTCCTTTCTCTCTCCCCTTTTCTTTCTTTACTTTCTTGTCTGTTCCTTCTCTCTTTCCCTCTCTCTCTTTTTTCTCTCTCTCTTTCCCCCCCTCTCTCTTTCCCTCTCCCTTCCCTAACCTATCTACCTATTTTCTGCCCAGGCAGGTGTGGCCTAATCTGTCAAAGGCCTGGGCTAATCTTGCATCAACCCATTTCCCCTTTCAGAGGCCCCGGCCCTTAATCTCCCCATTTCCTCCCCCATGACTGCCTCTTTCATCGTCCTATGGCCATGACTTCCATGGCTGGCTGCCAGGGAAGGGCTAAGCCATTGTTGTCACTGGACTGCCCGCCAGCCCACGTCGCCCTTGTCACGAACTGGACTGCAGCCGCACCGAAAAAAACATGTGGCAGCTGGAGGCTATTTGCAGCGGAAATTAACAACTTCCTTCTAGGTGCTGGTCCTGCAGGTCCACCCCATTGAGCCCGCTGCACCGGAGGGACTTGCCCAAGCAAGTCTAAGCGGAGTGGTACAGCAGTCAATGGCCGGAGCCTAGAATGTGGCGGCAGTGGAGCATTGGAGAAGCAGAGAAAAGCCAGAGGTCGGTAATTTTCGCTACAAAAAACCTGCAGCCACCACGTGTTTTTTTCGGTGCAGCCAGACTGCAGCTGCACCGAAAAAAAGACGCAGTGTCTGGAAGCTTTTTGTAGTGAAAATTACCGACCTCGGCTTTGCTTGCTCCGGTTCTCCAATGTGCCGCTGTGGCTGTCAGCGATTGTCGCACATGCACGCGATGTACTGCCCACTTTGGGAACCACTGCTTTAGGTAATTATATCATTCAAATTGCATTCCCACTTTAAAAAATGTCCTTTCTTTTAGTACAAGATGAACAGAGAGAACTTAGATTTTGTAACTGTATGGACTGTGCAATTCAAAAAGTTAAAACCTTTTATCAGTGACGGTTAGCAGACAGATCAGTATTCCAAGAAAAATAATAAAGGCAGAACATCTGCTACAATAATTCTGATTTGATTCAGATATAGATGGATAATTTGAAATCTGATTTAAAGAATATGTCTTATTTTTTAAAAAAATATTATTTTTACTAAAGTTATATCTTAGAGGTGTCCCTGGTCCCCTTATCCCAGAAGCAGCAACTGTTCCCCTGTCTGCTAGCCCCCTACTTCGCACGGATCTCCCAGCAATGAAGACGGAGAGGGAGAAGGGGGTGGTGTTTCTGTGTGCTCTCGTTTCTGTGTGGCACTCTCCCCTGAATGCTAGCGGTCGTCACTGCCCCCTTCTCCCTCTCAGTCTCCACTGCTGGGCGATCCCATGCAAAGAAGGGGGCTAGCAGAGAGGGGAGAGTGCGAGGTTGCTGCTTCTGGGATGAGGGGACCCGGGAAGTGTCTGGGTCTAGCTCACATGGCTACTCTTCCTCTCGCAGCCAGATTTCCCAGTGTAGCTTGATGCAGGATTCCTCCCCAGGCTCCAGTCCATTTTCCTCTGACTGGACAAAGCTAGGCAAAAAGCCAGCCATCACCAGTGCCCAGCCTCATTGACAGCGAGCTTCAAAAGGGCAATGTGAGGTGCACTGCCACCTGTGTCGAGCTAGACTAGGGAGGCAGAATGTGAGCCAGGCAAGAGGGGAGGGGGGAGGGAGGGATGGAGAGAGATGGGGGGGGGAACTGCTGCCAGCCCTGATATAATTCTCCAAGATTGGATCTCTCTCTCTCTCTCTTTCTCTCTCTCTCTCTCCCTCCCTCCCTCTCTCTCTCACACACACACACGCAGATTGGATCTTTCTTTCCTCCTCCCCCCACCAGAGACCCCTGGATTCCCTCCCAACTCTGTCTGTCCCATACAAGTACCACCCACACAAGTGACAGAGTTGGCCACGGCCACTCAGTCACATGACCTCCTCCCAGCCATGCCTACCCAGCCACACCCACCCAGCCAGTCATTAGGGCAGGGAACCAATTATTAAAAAATTTGCAGCCTATCACTGGCTTTACCTGGAGAAATAAGAAAACACAGGGTTGTCTCCATGTTACACAAAATCTGTTACTAAAATTCACCTTTGCAGCTGCTACAATGCTAGAAAATTCCTTATAGATTTCCTGGCTTCCCTTTGTGGCCCCTAATCCCAACAAAGCCAGTGAACTCTTAAAAGCATCTTCTCAGGCATTTGGAGGACAAACTGAACTTTTGAGAGCGACTGCAAACTTTTCTGAGGAGAAGGGAAGCAAGTTTCTCTCTCTCACACACACACACTCACACTGTCTCTCTCACTGACTCTCACACACACACCACCCATCAATGCCTCCGTCGTCCTCATTCCTGCACCGAGTCAGCCAAGCCCTTCTGGCGAGGAAAGGTCTCAGCATCCCACCACCACCCTCCCCTCCCCAAGCCAGACCCTTTCCAGGCATCCTGCCAAAGTTCCAGGGCAGCCAACCTCCCTTTACCTGCTGCTGCCGCTGGTGTGGGGAGGGTAAGAGGAAGCAGCAGAGCCCAGCTCTGGAGATCAGATGGGCTCCTGAAAGGAGACGGGGGAGCAGTCCTCTTTGGAATATGTCAGGGAAACAGGGTGACTGTGAAGGGTCGCCATAGCACAGGAGAGCAGGAGGGAGCCAGACCAAAGAAGAGCGAAGATAAAGAGTCCTCGTCTCCTTCTCTCCTTTCTATTGCTCTGATGAAGGCTGAAAATTTGCAGGGGTTGATTTAAAAGCCCTAATCCTAGTCTGAACCTTGGGGGGGGCAGGGCCGTTGAACAGTGAAGGCATCATTTGAGACAATCCTGCCAGAGGAAAAGAACATACCAAGGGGACCAAGCACAGGGCGAGGAGGTGGGCAGCGAGGGATCCATTATTGCTGCAGAGATAAGAGAGCGGTATGCTAGACTAGTCTAGTCTTACACCTCCCCCCATTATTTGCAATTAGGTCTCAACAACACACAGGTTATTTGCTTGTGTATCTGTGTCATTTTTGAAAGCAAGCAAGCAAATGACAACTACTGGAGGGAATCAGGGATGGAAAAAGTGAGAGGCTGGGGAGGGCTTTTCAAAACAGAAGGAGCAAGGACCATTTGCAAACAGCCCCCTGACTGTCTATCAACTTAAATGGGAGGCGCAAAATGAAACCTCATCACCAATCAAAGCCCTGTTCTGCCCATCACTTGTTTTAGTGTGTGTCCACCAGCATTTCATCTGTGCTGGGCTGACGGTGCACATGTCCACAGAGAGGACTCTGTGTGCCACCTCTGCCACAAGTGCCACATGTTCATCACCAAAGGCCTAGAGCGTACTTGATTTTTCTTAGGGAAAGAAATGTGAAGATCTAAATTCTTTATGCAGGTTCTTTATACAAATAGAAGTGCAAAACAGAAGCACGAGATAACATATTTAGCTTTTCTTAACCTAGTGTTTTTCTGTATGTTGGACTGCAACAATCATATTCCCCACATATAAACTTTTACCAGTGCTAAAGAGGGATAATATCCAATTTAGGAAGACTACTGTGTTTATTGGAAAAGTCACTGTAATCTGATATTTCTGTCACTTGAGTTCAGCTATCTTAATTCTCTTAGAAATAGCAATACTGGGGAGGGAATGGAGAGTCTCCAGGAAAACCAGAATTGTTATCTCTTGAATCAAGTTATAATAAAAGATTTTTTACAAACAGATCAGCCAACAGGAAAAAGAACAAAATAAAAAGATTCATGTTGCATCTGTGTGCTAAATTAAATTTTTTCCCTCACCATTAAACAGTTTGGCTCACTATCCCTCATGTCCATTTGAAAATAATGGATTCTTTAAGAAAATGCCTGTTGTTTAAAATTGTTTAAGGACTAGGCTATATTTTTACTATTTTGTTCTTTCAACTTGGGAACACTTAAATGATAATTATGGATTAAGATCAGAAAAATGAAGAGTCTCCTCCCAATATAATATTCTGTCCTTTTCCTTAACCCAATGCAGCTTTGCTACTTCTAAAATATTTCAGAAAAAGCAAGCACTATTGTTAATAACAAATATGTGACTGTATAACTAATCTACCTTTCTCAGATAGCATAATAAAAAGTTCAGGTTGTTAAACTCAGTTTATTTTTATCCGCAAGCATTCTTAAAGAGAAAAAAAAGTGTTAGCACATATGTTGAAATCCATCATACCTCTGAATCAAACTCCATTAGTAGAACAATTTTGTCCCTGATGGAACTGAAAAGATTGTGTTTGTGGATCAGCTGGAAAACATCTTTATGTCTCAGTGTGAGGTAAATTTCAAGGGCCTTTCTATAGCGTTGGTCATAGGTGTACCTAATAAGAAAGATGATATGTTATGAATAGACCCAGATGTGGGCCTTTTGAGAAAGCAATCGAATAGCACAGAAATCATTTAGCTAAAACATCCCATAGTTATTTGGAATAATAGAAAACATTTTCGGTCTACATCTATTAGAAAAGTAATAGGATGTCACTTTTTCCTTCAATTTTCTTCCATACAGACCCACAGTGGTCTTTAGCTTTTCTGATTAAGATAGGCTTCAAGGATAGTAAAAACCTTAAATAGTGCAGGCCAACCAGGAATATTGTTAAAGGCATTCTTGAGAAGAACACAAAATAGGACATATTTATATGTGAATATTGCTGTGTAAAAACTGCAAAACTGGAATCTGGAATATTTGTTTTTTGTACCATGATTTCTGTGCTGTGATTTTAATGATACTTTCAACAGTTATCCCTCTCTCTGAATCTATTTAATTCTTTATTAAAACTTCACTGATAGCATGTTCCCCATTAAAACTTTTATTTTAATATCTAAAATAATTCAAGAGAACAGTCAAATACTTTCTCCTTCCCTCCCTCCCCTCCCCCCCCCCCCCCCCCCCCCCCCATTTATCATAAAATACAGACGGGGACAGTTTTCACTGTATCAAGAATTTTATCCAATGCTCTTAAAATAGCTTCTAGATACAATTATTTCAGATATAGTGCAAATGGGAAAGGAGGTGAAGATGGAGTATGGGTCTTACTTTTCAGTTTTCCAGAAGCTAAATCTACATATTTCCTACTGAGACTTAACAAAAAATCTCAGTGTCAATCCCATAGCTGAGCATCTGTTTCCAGCACAAGTAACCAACAAAGAGCTAGTGGCCTAAGATTCTAAGAGTCAAATTGAAAACTATAAAGAGAAGAGGTTGGATAAAACAACAACACTGGGAGATTTTGTTCAACATAATCCCTTAATGCTCAATAAGGTACTATTGATACAGCATGAACAATAGCATTCGTGAACTTGGATTGCAAGAAAAAAGAAGCAAGATACCACATTCTGCTATTTGGGAGCATCCAAATAACATTTCTTTTCCCTGCCTTATAAATTTTATACATCAAAACTAAAGTACAATAATACTATCTCTGAAACAATGTTGCTGTTTATGTAAATCTTTTCAAATGAAATTTCTAATAAATATTTGAACTTCTTCCCCCACCCACAAAAGTAGAGGTGGGAAGAAGTCAAATTAGTTTTATGTGGAAAAACGTATTTAAAATTATTCAAGGAAAGAACTGCAACTGGTTATTTAGATGTTAGTCAATTGTGGGTATCATTTGAATTCATGAGTCAACAGACTTACAATTCTGCTAGAGTTTTCAGCAATGTCCTGTTCTGTGGATCTTTCTTCAGATGGTCCAATACAGCATGGACAATGACTGGATTGTTGTATAGATTCCCAGGCCATTCTTTAATTAATGTTGCAAAACCCTTAAAATAATTGGAAATGTGGGGTTATTTTAAATGTTGCATATACCTGTGCATTGAAATCAATTCCATCTTTTCCTTTTGTTCATTGGTCAATTTGTAACAAAGATTGTCTTTAAAAAAAATTGGAAGCCTATATAATAGTAGAACAAGAAGATCACTTATTGAGGCATATGAATGAACACTTGATAAGTGTTTGAAATGGTTTTTTTTATTTGCCAAGTTGTAATGCCATACCTGTGGTCTCCTTAGATTTCAGATCCTGGAGTGTGAAAATTTCTAGCCCCATGATGGTGAACCTATGGCCCGCGTTCCACAGGTGGCACACAGAGCCATTTGTGCTGGCACGCGAGCTGCAGGCAAACTTACATCACTGCGCATGTGCGCACATCACAGCTGATTTTCGGCTGGTTTGAGGTCTTTTTCAGCCTCCCAAAGGCTTGAGGAAGGCTTCTGCAGGCTTCTACAAGTTTGTAGGCTGAAATCTAGCCCTGTTTCATCACTTCCGTTTTTTTCGGAAAAACAGAAAGTGACGAAACGGGGTTAGATTTCAGCCTAAAAAGCTTGTAGAAGTCTGCAGAAGTCTTCCTCAAGCCTTTGGGAGGCCAAAAAAGGCCTCAAACCAGCCAAAAATCAGCTGTGAGGTGCAGTGCAGGTAAGCGGGCGGTAAGGTGGGTGGGTGGAGGATTGCGCGCGCACGTGTAGGGGATGTGGGGGAGCACGCATTGCTTTCTGGGTGCGGGCAATCACGCACAATTTTTGGCACAGGAGCCCAAAAAGATTAGCCACCACTGATCTAGCCTCAGAGGCTGGGCGATAAGTTTGCTCAATTAGTAGCTTTAGCAATACATTTTGGTGTAATATTGATTAGAAACTGTGCACACACAGTGCAATTAATTATAAAAAAACTCTATATGAGAGATGATTTTATTGAAGAGACAATTTTTGCTTGTTTATAAATAACTTAGATGATAATATCACAATTAATCATTGAAAATCATTCTTCCCCTCTTTTAAAAAGGAGTTTGCTTGCAACCGTATATATTTAGCACGTTCAAATTATTGCAGGTGAGCGCCAGTATAGTGTAGTGATTAAGGAAACTAGGAAACTGTAAGTCCTGCCTTAGGCATGAAAGCTAACGGAATGATTTTGGCCTGGTCCCTTTCTGTTAGCCCTAAGAAGGAGGCAATAGCAAACTAATTCTGAAAAATCTTGCTAAAAAAAGCCAGTGTTCAAGAATTGGTTACGACTGAATAGAAGACAAAAAACTTATACTATACTATTATTATATTATACTAATATTGCGTTGTACAATATATAAAAGGAGAAGGTTTATGTATTGGTTTATGTATACAAGTTTGTACCCATATTCGCTTCCTTTGATGATATTACCTAGTTCAGGGGTCGCCAACCTTTTTGACCTCAGGGACCACCAAACTCATACTTTTAAATCACGAGGACACTAATACGAAATTTTAAAAAGATAATATATTTAATATTAAAAATTATTTTTATATTAAATTTAAATTTATTCTAAATTAATTAAAATTAAATAAATAAACTTAATTAAATA